TTTTTAATCCATGTCAATTCAGTGTTGTTTCTATATATGGTATATAGATGTATCTACAAAGAAATTGTTAACAGTTGTATAAAACGGCTTCAATCAGCAGTATTTCTTGAATTGATGGTTTGACCATAATTTTATTTCTAGGAAATTACAAGCAGATTTAAAAACAACCAAAGTTGAAGAGCTGCGCCTGCAAATGGAGGCATTCTACCAGGAGGTAGTTCGCCTGCAAAACACCAGGGCGGCGCCAGCAACACAACAGTCTAGTCAGAGGTAAATAAATTCTTTCTGTTACTTTTATACAGCAACTGTAAATTTAAAACATCAGTCACACTTTTGAAATTTATAAATTAAAAGTTACAATTGATTTTTACAAACAATCTTTATATCGAGTGTGAAATACTTTCTACTGTATTTCTGCTTTTATTCAATGTTATACACATAATTCTTCCAGTTCTAAACCTGGTAAGGAAAATCCGTCCAAAATCAAAGCCTTGAATGACACTATCCTCAGAATGAATGAGAAAAATGTCAAGCTGCAGACAGAAAACCGCACCCTGAAAGAAGATCTGGAGAAAATGTTGGAAGAGCAGTCACAGCTAAAAGAAAAACAAGGTTTGTAATATAAAAGTTTTACTGGAATGAAATTTATTATCCACATTATCTGGAATACTTTTTAGGCATGTGGTACATAAGTTACGTAAGAATACCAAAAATAATTTCACTTGTGTTCTCACTAGTCTGGCAGAAGTCTTCAAGAGGAAGAGCTACTGTCATCAATTACTCAATTCAAAGTCCAGTAATAGATTAAAAAACTTTACTTAACTTTTCCTTGGTTAACTTTATTTGAAAACTCGAGTTGTATATTTAACTACTATGTATGTGATTGTAAAATCAAATATAACTACACAAGGAACCATGATAATGGATAAGTTTATTTCCCGTTAAAAAGCACAAAAGTATAAAAACCTAAAAAAAAACTTAAATGTTCTTTAAACAGATTAAGATATATTATATTATTTGTGCATTTGTTTCCAGCTGATTATGAAGACATGAACAAGAAACAACTAATGAATGCTATTACTAAGCTTGAAAAGGTAGGTGGTTGCAATTTATGTTATATGTTAGTCAGTATACATATCACATCCATAAAGCAGAACTCCCACAAAAATTGTGACATCATTGGCATATTTGCCAAAGTTTTCAGCTATATAAGTATTAATGTATTGTTGGCTGAATGCATGAAGAGAACAACACATTAATTTTATGGTATCCATATTTGCATACATATATTATTTTTTCAGCGCCTTGAAAAGACCGAGGTAGAGACAGCCTCTGTCAAGTCTGAAACCTCCACTAACAACAAGGGGACAGTGAATACCAAAGGTTAATTACTTCTGTATTGAAGTTAACTGATTGATAGAATTAAATTCCTTTTTGAGTTTCTACAGCAGATATCAGTAGATAAATCTATTTGTGTACATTACATTACATACATGTGAAGCATAGTGTTCAGTTTTCTGTTGTGTTTTAACTGAGCAAAATGTCATGTAGATGAATTTAATCCCATTTGATTTATATAATGATATTTGAATGTTGACCGTAGTCCAAACACATCATGTAATGTTATCTTTTGACAGTACCAGTTTTTGAAGAATGCAGTATTATTTCTGTGTACTTTCTCAGGTAAGATTACCCTTGAAGGCAGCCTGGCAGAGAGACTGGATCAACTGGACCAGAGAGAGACGGAACTCCTTGAGGAGCTGGAGAAACAGAGAAATATCATTAAGAGGCTGAAGGAGGACAGGCAGCACTACAGACAGCAGGCAGACGACAGAGAGTACGCACACAGTTATAGAGTTGTGATGTTTATAAAACTTCTTTTTTTCAAAATTGTTTTTCTTTTTTGTCTTTATGTTGATATGCATGACAGAGAAAATTCATTTTTTTAAAACAATTTTCCAAAAGAAAAAGAATTGCCCACTGGTTTTTACTTCATTTGTTAAGACTATTTTTATTTCTAAATTTCCATTTTTTTCACTTAAGTGAAAGAGAAAAACTTACATTTAAGGAAAGAATAGACAGTTGATTATGTGAACAATTGTTAGGCAGATTTCAATGGAATGCTAGAAAAATAAAGACTACTAAGTTGTATGTTTACTGATACCATGTTTTGCTTGTTTCTAGGAAGGAAATTAAAACACTGAGGAAGGAGATCGAGGCTCTACAATCCGAAGTTGGCAAGCCACGCAGTATCGCAGGGTCTCGGCCCTCTAGTGGCAGACCTAAGATTTCCCCTCGACTATCAAGGTAGTCAAGATAAATGAATTAAAAATGACATTTCACCACAGTTGCTGCAAGTGGCACATTGTTTTTTGTTGAAAATGAATGAACTCCATTTGTCTCATATAAAGAGAGCTAATAAATGCGTGAATTCTATGATTTGCTGTTGAAATACTATTATTTTTTCCATCAGACGAGATTCTGTGGAGAGTACAGCTAGCAGCAGAGCCAGAAGAGAGAAGGAGAAGGAGGAATTGGACAGGAAAGTACAAGACTTCCAGGAGCAGAGGGCAGCCAAGAGCATCCAGAAAGGTTGGAAAGGTTTCAAGACCAGGAAGGCTCTGGAGGAAGAAGAAGAGGTAATTTGGGAGCCATTGTGATTGGAAAACTGTTCAGAATATTTTAAAGAAATAATACAACTTTCTCTTTGTATACTATTGTGATGTTATGATTTCCCCCTTGTTTTCTTTGCTAATTTTGTTTTTGTGCACTCATTTCATTAAAAAATTGATTGAAACTTATTCTCTTATAGACATCTATTTCTGTGATTCTGTATCAGATTTCTAATTAAACTTGTCCTGTGAAACAATGTTTTAATCCTTAGATATGTCTAGATGCCATAAAGGTTGATAACAGCATGCCAGAAAAGATTATAACCAGTACAGTAGATAGTAGTATATTAAAATGATTTACAGTCGTAGAGTATTTTAGTTTGTTCCATGTTCATGTAGATATCCTCATCTAAGAGCACATTTAATTTGAACTGAAACTCCCTTGCACTTTTCTGTAATTTTTAGGACATCTTTAGTTCTTTTTCTCCTATTTTCCTTTAAATTTTCAACTATCTAGGCCAGGAAGAGGGAAGAATTGATTGAAAGCTTCAGGAAGAGTAGAGCAGCAAAAACCATTCAAAAAGAATGGAGAGATCACCATAGAAAAGTAGTAATTGATGAAGAAGTATGTGATGATTGTGATTAGCAATGCAAACACATGCTAATTAAAAATCTAATCCTTTGATTTTAAGATTTTAAAAAGTAGCTGTTTTAATGTTGATGATTCTCTTAGATGCATTTCTCTTTGTATTTTTATGAATAGATTTATGATTCTCACAGTAATGAACTGTAATTCTATTAATTCTACTTTGAGTCTTTTAATTTAGATTTCTTGTTATTTTGTATTTGTATTGTAGTGGTTAAATTGTAGCAGTAGTGCATCTTATATAACAATTGGTTGTAGTTGCTTTTTTGTTGTGAGCGTTTTTTTTTTTTTTT